GCTATGACGTTAACAAATCTTAAAGTTCAGAGTCTCAGAGAAGGTATCGTTCTTTCTACTTATAAGATGGGATGAACAGAATTTAATTCTGGACAAGTTTAATTAAAAACTCAAGAACAAAAAATCACCCCAGTATTTAGCAAGTTGGCTATGAATAATCGTAGCCGTTCGTAGTCGAATCCATCCCTACCTAAGACTAAGGGCATAGCAAAAAACTGATACGACTTAGGTCATTGGCCAACACTGCACATGATAGAGTTTAAAATCTGGGTTATTTTTTATATGATAAAATGTAACAGGTAAAACAATAAATCTTTCAACAAATATCCTTTCACGGCGATCTGAAAATTTTTCTAAATATCTTTTAAGCATTTGATAAAATGGAAAAATTGTATATCACACTAAAGATTTTTAAAAGAACACTTGGAAAAAGATTCTATATTTACTATCTACTTGGTATAAACGTAAGAGAAAGAATAGAAAAGTTCAATTAATAACTATAATGATTTTAAGAATTAAATATATTTACCATTGTTGTTCGGTTTAATTTCTAGCAGTCTTGTTAAAATTACAAGTACTTTTTCAGATTTGCCCATAATAAAATGTCTTTTTACGATCTTAATGTAAATGTATCATTTCAAATGACTCTTCAATCATATCTATACGCTGATCATTGCACTGATTAAGAGCTTCAATCCATTTTTCTTTCAAAATTTTATCAACAATATTATCGTAAGCCGTTGCTGTTAATAGTAGCAATATTAGGGATTCTTAAATTCAAACTTGTTAGTTGCTAACCCGCAACTAAATAAGAAATCTATTTACAGATTAAAATTGTAAAATATTAATATTAGGTGTATATTTGAATTTTTTATATCCAAAATAAGCATGTATAGACGCGCCTTATGAACTTATTCCGATGCAAGGATAAAAGGTACACTCTGGAATATTTAATGATCGCTTTGTTATTTCATTGTTGAACTTTGTGAATAATAATTTTTGAAATCTCGTAATGTGAAACTGTTAAACCGCTTGCACATAATGATAAGTAAATTAGAAAACAAGGGTATTTGCTTCTCTTATTAAAATTTAGAATACGGTATTTAATTTTAATTAAACACTATTCTTACTTGTTCTTTTATCTATTATCCATTTCTTGATAAGTACAGTAAACTCCATAGGTACATCCTCTATAAGTGCACAAATGCACACTCAAATTCTGTTCAAAAATACTGTACATGACCTTTATAAATGCAACTTTTTTATTGTTCTCTAAACACACATTATTAAAGTTTGGTTTCAAAAGTGTGCATTTATAGAGGTCTTACTGTCTCATAAAAAATCTTAATATAGCCTTTTACTCTATTTAATTATGAATAATTTATTTGAAAATTTTTTTAAAGATCTTTTAACGTACTAATCGAAAATCAAGGTAACATATATTACACAAAAATTTATTAGAACATATAGATGTTTACTAAATATTCGTTCGTTTTGTCAAATCGTGGAACTATATGGACTGTTTTGTAAATGCTTTCTATTGGTATGCAAGTATATTGCTCTAATAATTTTAATTTGGGGCATCCCCATAATCTATCTTCTTCTTCATACCAACGTACAAGAGCGAAATCGAACTGTTCTCTTCCTTCTGCTCCGAATTTGAGAATTAGCAAGACCTTGGAGAGTATAAATATATATATATTAGTATATTCGTAAGGTATTTTGAATAAATATTATGAATGGTCTGTTTCTTACCACGCCGTACCAATCTATTTCATTTCTTTCTTCATCTTCGGCGTTTACCAACACATTAGAAAACATTGGCTTCCCATAAAAACTTTTAGTTGCGCGAATGATATCACTATTATCCAAAGCAACAGAAGAGAATGTTTCTATTTGGCTATCATCGTGGATTGATATCTTAGATTCTTCAAAGAATTCACTAAGACCTGCTGAGAGGTTTTGAAATCCCTCAATTTGTTGAGGGTCCATATTTTCTTTATTTTCTTGAAGGAAACTATCTAGTTCTCTCAATTTTAGTGTCCACAAATTTTTACCATATCCTTTTCGTTGATTTTTCTTGACAGCTTCTTCTTTATCAATTAGTTTTTGTCAGTTTGCCTAATTAACAATCAATCATTAGTGATTATATTATAAGAAAAAATCTATACTACTAATGCTTACCGATTTTATTATTTGTTTCATAAAATCTTTTTTATTAGACATACGATATGAATTTTTAACATAGAATCTATGGAGTGTCTCGTAAGTCCCTGTAGTCATGCCATTTATTGCTCCATATTTCTGAATTGCAGGCACTATGTGATAGCACCAGGTATGAAATTTTGGAAGCTGCAAACCACTGGGAGAGTAAGATGAAAATATGGCAACAAAGTCTCGAGCCCAGTCGATAATGAAATTCTACAAAAAAGTCGATCCATTAAAAATCAACATATAACCAAAGTAAATCATTTTGTTTATACCTGAAGCTGATTGCATGAATCGTATGTAAAAGACTCTTCCCGAGTGGCTAGGTACATTTGAAGAAATTTGTAAAATACATCACTCAATTTTTTATTACTTATTCCTGACGTTTTATGCGTTGTTTATAGGTTATCAAGTGCGAAAATAATTATTTTCATTATATTTCTCAACTCATCTGCTGTTATACGCGTTAGATCAGAGATATTTTT